CCCTTATTGTAGTCCTAAGTTACAGCGGAACTTCAATGTGATTACATTTCATAAGTGATGTTGTTTTGGCCATTCCGACTCTTTGTAGCTCAGAAAGATTTCATTAAATAATTGGGATTACCTAGAATAAATGCCAATTATTTATTGGCATCCTCCAAATGTGCTTTTTTATTCTTCTGACATGTCTTTGGAACAGGCACTGTGGGAATGTTTCCTGATATAGGTTCATTCTGCCTCTTTGCAGGGTTCACTGCAGGACAAATCCTGACCTCTCCTCTACATTTCCCCCCTCTGGAGAATTATTGTAATTTTAACCAGATATTCTTGTCTTTTAAGCCCTCCTTCTGTTTAAAAAGCCCAGTAGCAGTCTTATTCCCACATAGGTTGTTTTATAGGTAAAGAATCTGCAATGAGTACAGCTTAAAAAGAAGACAGAAGAGATCATTCTATGACTCTATCTGCCAGCCTGCCTTGTTGATTTCCATGGTTGGAAGAAAGGTCTGGACAGGGCCCACGCTTTAAGAACCTGGGACCCAGGAAAAGGCTCGCAGGAGGCTTACTAACACCCTCTCTTACAAGGCCATTACTGAAAATAGATAACATCAACTACACTGTGTCATTGTAATGGGTCTCTAACTTAAAGCCAGTAGCATAAGCCGTGGCAATGGGGTTCTCTACAGAACTCTTCACACCAGCAAACGGCATTGGCATTGCACTAGAGGTTCTTCAAAGCTAGAGCAACACAATTGTTATTATACCAGTGCCTGACTGGATTGCCCATAAATCCACCATGATTTCACATGCTTAATGACAAGCACAGCTTCAAGATCAAATCATTCCTGAGCTAGGTCATCACCTAGCTAGTGTTGGTATACTAATTACACTCCTAAGGCTTTGCTAATAGATATTTAAGTTATGTTTTAAATTATACCTAAAAATGTAATATATGTGAGTGTGTCTGTGTGTGTGCAAGGCAAAAACATGTTCCCCAATATACTTGTAAGGGGTCAAGGCTTTTCAGGGCTCCTTGGTGAACAAAATGTGCAGTGGAAAATATGCAACTCTGTAATTTGCAAGGCAATTCCAAGGAAGCATTTATCTAGAGCAACCTATTCCAATCCGGTGCCTTTTGGATGCTTTGGACTACAAGTGCCACAATTCCTGACCATTAGCTATGCTGACATGTTCTAAGAAGGGACAGGACTTAATTCGCTTTTTGAACTTGGGTATACAACATTAAAGAATTTCAATGGCCAAATTTAAGTGCATGATACCAGCAACTGCACAGTGTGTATACATTTAAATGGCAATGTTTATTCCTGGGAAATACTGCCATTTGTACATGCAGAACCCATTTAAAATAAAGAGCATTGCACAAAGGTTTTATTGCTTAAACCCAGCTAGTTTTTGTCCCCAAGTTCAAGGTATAAGATGAGACCTTAGCTTGTATCTATATACACTGACTTAAGAAGAAGCTCCACGGGAGTCATTTATCCACTTTATTTACAACAAGAACAAGGTGCTTGTTTGGTATGTGCAGACACAGGAATGGCACATCCAAACCCAATTTTTTAGAGAATGTTTCAAATGCTCCAAGTGCACATGTGTTGTCCTTTGTAGTTCAGTCTTTTTTATTCTTAATTTAGACTGGCAGGTTGCACAAGTTTATAGAAGAGGATGAATAAGCTTACCAGTCCATCAACACTTATCAGCTGAGCATCAAAGTCTGGCAAAGTACTAGCCCCAGAGTGTTGTTTACTGTAACTAGCAAGCTAAGGCAGTTCCCACTGACAACTTCTGAGTACATGTGCATGGGACTGAGCTGCATGTCATCCACAAATACGGTATCTCAAAGGAATGTTAAAACACACAAGTTAGGCATGCCCTGAGCATTTGGGCATTCATCCACTAGAGCCAAACTCTGATTTCTGATCATTTTTATTTGATCCTGGAAACAGTTAAACCTCATTGGCCTTTCGCAAAGCTGTACATCTGCATTCCATCTGAGCAAAGAGGGAGATTACCTACTGGTATGCTAGCCCTGAAAACACTACTTAGAGCAAAACTATCATTCAGCTTTCCTCCCTTTCAGAAATTTGGGGGGGTGGTTGAAGGATTCCTGCCCATTAACCATTCTGACTGAGGCTGATGGGAGCTGAAGTCCAAAACACCTGGAGGGCACCAGATTGGGGAAAGCTGCTCTGTGGGCTGCACCTTTTAGTGTGTACTCTTTTCCAACCACAAATATCTCTCCCCATGGACAAAAAAGATGCTTTTTGCTCAAAACTGCTCAACACATTCCCATAACCATAGCTGGGCTTTTTGTTAAGAAAGACCATGCCCAGTACAAGTCACACTGAAAGAAACACACTACAACTGTAATATGCATTTTGGTCCCTAGATGTCTGATTACTATTCAGTGCTTCTGGGATTGCTCCTTCAGCAGTGAAGTACAAACAGAACTTGTTACAGAAACACTGAGAGTGCTGGAGTTCCTTCCAAAACGCAGACAAGAGCCAACCTGCCTTTCTCCCACATGCCTCTTAGTGCCTTCCAAAGCTGGGACTAATGAAAATACACCTTTCTACTTGGAACTTCCTCTTGGAATTAATTACTTTCTGAAGCTTTTGCTGACAAACTGGACCGTATACTCAGCAAAACAAGGCAGCCGGTATTGCTTCCAGCCAAGTCTGCCGCAGCAATGTGGGCCAAAGTCTGCAGAAACAGATGATTTCACACTAATGGGTTACAGCAATACCAATACAGTAACTACTGCTCAGCCAGGAAAATTAATGGCAAAATCCATATTACAGAATTTCTTTGAATTCTCTCCCATCTTCACCCCACCCCAGCCCCATTACGGTGCCTGGGGAAATTTGACCAAGATTTCATATGCATAATATATAGACTCATTCCTGGAAACTTGCCTGAAGGAGGCTGGGGTTCTGTTTTCACTCCACTTTAACTGCCCTCTCCCTGTCTACAAGTACTGGGGGAGGCTTTAAAGGGCACTAATGACAAACCATTCCTGAACATGTGCCCTCCAATTTGTGGGATCTTTCCCCACATTACATAACAACAAACCCAGCTGTATCACAGCTTGCACACTCAATGGAGAGCCACAGCCAATCACGTCTTCGTAAGCAGCCTGGAACCCTTATGATGTGTGCTTCCCATCAGATGCCTGCTGCTACATTCTGCATTTAAGGTGTACACTTTAACCATATAAAGGATAACCTAAAGATATAGTGTGTGGAACGACTGATGCAGGATGGGATGCACAAGGGAGAAGACACACAATTGGATACCTTTAAGATGGTTCTGCCATAATTGATTTGCTAGTCTTAAAGATGCCATCAGATTCTGCTGTTTTCGCTGCAATGGGAAATTACTGTCCTGTTGTTTGTTTGTTTTCTCTTTTCATAGCATAATTAATTAATTTAAAACTTTGGAAGGTCTTTTTTTTTTTTTTGCTTCTTCTTGGTTTTGCTACAGAATCTTAGCTAGAAACTTTCTATGGAGAAATGATTAAACAAGACTGTTGTTAAATCTGACCAAAACAATGATGACTTAAAGATTGCCTCCATAAACATTGGATTAAAAGGAGGCGGCTGGTGGGATCACTGATGGAATAATCAGTAACCAGGTCCTCCTGCTTCTTTGAAATGCATTTGGAAAATTCAAAGGAATGTAGAATAAAAACGAAGACAAAAGCATGTCAGGTTGTATCCAATGTCAGTCAACTTTAAGCTAATTTCAGTAGGACTAACATTGGATGCAGTCCCTTGATTTGGAAGGAATGCTCTGGCCCCAGTACAAGCAGTACCATTACCATCAAAGGTACTCAAGGGCAAAACACACCTACCACAATCAACCTAGACTATTATTTAAAATGTTTTGTAATGAAGGGATAAACCTCTGCAAAGGAAAGGGATGTGGAGAAGCAGCCACAGATCTCTTTCCTTACAACCCCTAAGCCTTGCAGGTCCCACAACAGCAGAAACCAGAGGCACTGTGAAGTGACCAGCTCAACGAGGAAGAGTTTTTCTGACCCCGCGCTAAGCACACACAGAAGTGTGATGGCCTCTCCAATCTGAAGCACTTTCAAGCTAGAAGGTATATTCCTTATGGAGAGCAGAACTGCCACGGTGTAAGGTAACGAAATAACTCCTGTTTCTACGAGGTCCCCGCTTCTCCCCATAAAGATTCCACTATTCTTCCACAGCACCTACATTTTAAACTTGCGTCCTTCCTTAAGGAAAATGTCCACTGTAATTGGTGCTCGCCAGATGGTCTGAAGGTCTGCCTTTTCTGAAATCCATCGAGCTATGAGCCACAGAGTTCGGACTTGTGCATATTAGGGGTCACATCATCTATTAGGCATTAGCTAGTACTTACACACGCGTGCAACCTAAAGGACAAGGATCTTGCCTCTGAGCATGTGCAATGCGCCTCCCCTCTCCGAGTCATCCAAGCCAGTTGCAGAGCAATCCAGTATTGCAGCGCGGAATCTCCAGATAATCAAGAGTGCTCTCAGGACTCCGCCCCGGCTCTCGTAAATAAAGCAAGCGGCTCCTTCTCTTTCCCATCTCCTCCCACATTTAGGGGTTTGCGCTTTCTTTGGTCCACGCAAAGGTGGGCAGTCGCGAGAAAGACCCTACCCTACCGCCATCAGATTAAGTTGGTGATGCCGGGGGCTGAGCGGGTAAGAGAACAACAGGCGCAGCAAAGAAGGGCGCAAAAAGCCGCAGGAGCCCAGGGCGAAGTTTCCCTCGGACAGCGCGAGCGCGTGAAGGTAGCAGAAGCCGTGAAAGGGTCTGGGGGCGTGGAGAGAAGGGGGTCGGAAGAGGGAGAAGCGGTCGGTTGAAAGTTTCGTGCTTCTTGTATGCCTGCCTGCCTGCCTGCCGTGTTTGTTTGCAGAAGCAAGACGGATCGAAGCAGCGAGAGATCAGATGGAAGCAGGGAGAAAGAGAGGGTGAAGAGGCTCAGTGGGGAGATACCTGAAGCTCAAAGCGATCGAGCTGGCAGGGGACGAAGGAAGGGTATCCGCGGCTACAGCTAATCGCGTACAGTCGTCCGGAGGCAGTCCTTGGCTGGGAAAACACGCTCGCCGCCTGTCCGGGCAACAGCGGCGGGGTGCGGGGAGGCGCGCCGCTAAGGGGAAAGGGCGGGGTTAGCGAAACCTCGGCCCTCCTCCTCCTCCTCCTCTTTTCCCCCCACCCGCGGCTCCGTTGCCGCCACTGCGGGGAAGAAGGCTCTGTGCGCCCTTCACTGCAGGCGAGCGGCCAGAGAGCGAGCAAAGAGTTTCTGCCGCGCCGGGAAGGAAGAAGGCAAGCCCGGGCAGAATCTCCACGCGGAGTTTGCAGTGTGTGGCCGGGTGAAGTGCGGGTCTGCCCGCTTGCTGAGAGTTCGCCAAACTTACTTTGCAATGGGGCTGCCTCCCAAGTAAGTTTATACGCACCCCTTAAAGCCGTTAAAAAACAAGCCTAATATTGGAAGATTGCTCGAAATAAGCAGGTGAAGAAGTTGTTGCACCAGACTGGGACGTTACGAAACTGAATGGTGCATAATACTCGTCTGGAACACCGAGCACGTGCTGTATTCGCGCGGAAGTTCCCTGGGTCTGTTTTAGTCCCGGGCATCTTCAGCTAAGACTGGGGAGAGACTTCTGGCTGAAGCCCTACCAGACAGTGCAAAATGTCCCGACCTGGTCTGACTCGGCAGATGGCGGCTTTCTTGTTTATGTGGAGGCTTTTCTGAATAGGCAGAGAATGCTTTGGGAGGTACTAGAATTCTGTAGGACAGCCTTTCCGTAGCTCGGTGTCCTTCGGATGAATTGGACTACAGTTGTCATCGTCCGCAACCACGAAGGATGGGATCCGTAGGCCATCACACGGAGGGACACTAGGTTGGGAAAGAGACAGTGGGGCATGGCGTTAATAAACACTAGAAGCAATTATACACAGAGAGTGTCAAGTGACACTGGTAACCCTGCATACCCTGCAACATCTGTTAAAAGACTTCATTCTGCCCCGTTTTGTTTGCTAAATTGGCGATAAATTGGTAGGCATCCAGAGCTTCCCCACACACGTGCAGGCACAATTTCCCTGGTGCCAGAGAGAGAGAGTAATACGCTGCACTTCAAACAGCTATATATGAATAAATTGAATTGGTTCTCGCTGCTGCCAAAATGTGTTGCTGAACAGCCTCTGGCCTCCTCTGCAACGGTAAAGCTAACTTTATTTCCTCTTTCCCACTATGGCCATTTCCCTTTAAAGCAAGGTGGATTCTTCACTCTATAAACAGGTGGGTTATCCAAGCTTACCCAAGCAAGGTTGCACCCAAAGCATGTTACTGGGGAGGATTAATTAGCTCAGAAAATTAACTTAGTGCTCCAGCAGGATGAAAGCCTAGGATCAATAGTTCTGCATCCAGCCAGTGGTGCTGATTAGGGAAAGATCAGGACACTTGCTTTTGAGAGCTTTATGTCACATTCCCACTCGATTCTCATGAATAATGGAACCAACTGTGCCCCCAACTTTTTTTTGGGGGGGTGCAATATGGATGAAGCAGTCTAGATAAAATGCTTGGATTATAGTACTCTATGCTCTCTACTTCCCTGAGTGGCAAGAGAAAGCACAGCACCAGCTTTGGTTTGCCTTGCTGGATGCACAAATAAATATATTTAAATGTTTTAAATACATAATATAAATAAATGTACAAATATATGAAGGGCAGGGCAGTGAAAGAGATTACTTTTATCAGCATCCAACATAGCCAGCTCCTAATTTCCAAAGACCACCTTTAAAGCTGCATGCCAGTGGACTTGGTGTTATCCATGCCTTTATCCTTTGTGTGGCTGCTTTTAAAAATAAATAATTGCTACCAGTGAGAGCATTCTTCCCACTGCAACTAGCAGTTCTGTGGAGACCATTTGAATCAGGACTGTGACAGGTGTAACTGTTCCCTCTCCCACATGTCACAGTCCTGACCCAGCACAGTTCTCCTAGGCTGCCTATTTCATTTTATATCAAGAGCTAAAAACGTGGAGAGTATTTCTAATTTGGTTCTGCACTCAGATAAACACTAATCTAGTGTGTGTGGCTTTGTTGCCCTCAAAACAGCACAAGCTGCTCCTCCTTGCAGAGCAATGGATCCTGCTCCACCCACAATATACCCAGTAAAGTGTGCTGTGCTGCCCGTTCAAGAAATGTTCATGATCATTAAAGGAGCATTAAGGCTTTTCTGCCAAATTCCCACATTCCCAACAGATGCCACATCAGGCTTAGGCAAAACCATGGCAATACACCTATTAAAATGACTGGGCAGACTTAATGCACCTCTATACCTTCATTGCCTGGTTTATGGCTCTTTTTGTGTGGTTGTTTGTTTGGCCATTTATATCACATCTTGCTCCTATGAGAAAATCAAGTGCAAGGCAGCATACAGTCAAATATCAATCAGAACAAAATTAAAAGCAAACCTAAGAGTAAGCAGCAGTGAAAGGCATCATAAACAACACGTGATGCTGGAGATAAAAATGGGGCCAAACCACAAAGACTGTAATGTTCGGTAGTAATTAAAATGCACTGTCCTGGGATTTGGATCCAGTGTGGAGCCTTTGTGCTGTCAAAAGACGAAGCAGTTGTTTGCAGCTTTTCTGTATGCATACATGCATCTGAGCAGTTGACATCCTGCAGGGTTTTCTGGCAGGACAGACACAGAAGGAATGCCTTCAAGGCAAGTTTTAAAAAATCATTTTCAGAAATGATGCAGATGCTAAATAAGGAAAGGTGAGAGTTGAACAGGCTCATACCGGAATATACCAGGCTCTGTCCTGAACATTTCCTGCCCTGTGTGTCACCCTGGCCTCTTAGTGCATCCGTTCAGCCTTCCTCAACCTGTACTCTTCAGACTGCCATCATGTCGAGTCAGATATGGCCATGCTGGCTGGGGCAGTTGCAAGTTTCAGCAGTTTAATGTGTATTTATTGCCAGGTCTTACTGCAGGATGACGGAGGTAGTTTCCATTCAGAAATCAGCCATTTATCCTGATAGAAATGTGTCCAGATAACCTCAGGCACGCTTAACAACCTGCCCAGGAAGTGGATGTTGGCAACTGGCCTCTCTTCCAGATCCAGGCGGGGTATTTTCAAAGCACCCTAATTACCTCTCTTTTAAAGAGGCCAGAATTTACAACCTCTAGGACCCTGCTAGGTATCTTCTGCCTATTCGATGTAATAAGCCACGAAGGGCAAGGTTCATGCACACGAGTTCAACAAGTACCTAGTTAACATCCTCAAGCCTCCGGAAGTGAAACTTGGCCAATAAAACTAAACCAGCCTCTGCTAATGAAATTGCATTCATTGTGTGTGTGTGTGTGTGTGTGTGGTTTTTTTTTTTAAGGGAGCAAATTAATAACTGATGGCACAGAAAAAACACAGATCATTAAATAGTGATTATGGCTACATGCAAAACATAACCATTCATATACCAAGGTTATAGCACAACCTATGCCCCTTTTCTCCTGCAAACACAAGATGTGTAACATAACATAAGGCTGGCCCTATCTGGCATCACCTATTGCTGCCATGAAATCTTGGATAAGAAGACAGATAATACAATTTGAAAACCAATGGTTACAAACACATTTACGTTCATATAAAAGCCCATACATACACACTCTGGCCAAATAAATGAATATGCTGCCTCTCATGTTCCAGACAGATTTAATGTTTTCCATAGTACCCACATTACTAATGCATGACATGATATTCAGACCTCAGTGCAGCCTCTTATACTTTGATCCAAAATCCACACTATTCAGCAGTTCCTATGGTTGCTAAGCATGGGCAAGTCTATCAGTCAAACTTTCTCTTCCATTCAGTTTTTTTTTTAAATCTCAGGTTAACTCTTTCCACATATAAAAAACTTCACGGGAATTCTGGAATTTTGCTCAGCAAAAATGTACTGAAACAAATTCTTCACTCATCAGCACCAGTTAGATGTAATGTTTACAGTTAATGTTTAAAGTCCTACTAATTGCACCATCTATTCCCCAGAAAGGAATGCTCTACCAGCTTTCATCAGTGCTGATAGGTGATCTCCATTCCATGTCCTGGTGCTTCATAGGCCCCCTGGGTACTACGATCCGCAGTAACTTGTGCGGGAAGGAGTAGGAAGGAATAGAGAGTTTTGCCTTTGGGTTGGCAAAGCATTGCAGCAAGATGAGCTGGGTGCCACTGCACTCATGGCACATTGGGACTGGCTTTGTGGAAACAGTACTGGGCTCTTCTTCCATTCTTCCTGACGGTTAGAGCAGTATGGCAGCGGAACCAATGAGCTAGGGATGTTGTGCGTTCTTCCACATGGGAGGCAGTCGGACAGCCATCTGTCAGGGATGTTACAACCTGGAGTCCTGCACTGAGCAAGGGATTGGACTTGATGGCCTTAAAACCCCCTTCCAACTCTGCTATTCCATGATTCTTAACTGCTGAAGGTTAGCACTTGCCAAAAGGCAAATCACCTCTCCCCCTGCCCCACCCCACCCCTGCACCAAGATTGACCCCTTCTGTAGCTATTTGGTTCATTTCCATTGCCTTCAGAACCATTCTATTATGAATGAGCCATTCCCCCAGGATAGCATTGCTTAAGTGAGGGTAGGGGAGAGAAGGATGTGGCTCATTCTTAATCCAGAAGAGTTTTAAAGTACAGGATGCATTCAAGAGGAAAATCAATCTGACTAGTATCTATACTACTTCTTTCCCTGGAAGGTATTCCTGCTGTAATGGATTCTGTAGTCTAAAGAGACCACTACAAAATTGAAAACAGACTTTTTTGTAACAATACAGGATTCACTGACATCTCTCAACTGCTGTAAGAGTAGCTTTGGGAATCATGTGGCTGTGCTTAGAATACGTCTGGAATACACAATGAGCTTTAAGTGCTACATCATCAGTTCCAGGGACTGATTACTATAAGACAACACTTAAAAATAAACAGATTTTTCTCATGATGTATAAATAATGTTATTTAGGAGCACATTTTTTTTCTTTTTCATTTTGTAAA